GTGGTTGTCAACCGAGATTGTCAATCTCGATTGTACAACTAGCATACTCTTATTTATTTATTTAAATCGAAACTTGGTAGGATAACACCTTAGAGTTCAATTAGCATGATCTTAATAAACTAATCACACAAAAACTATCACATATGTTATCATTATGAGTACACTACAGTTAGTGTGCAAATTAAATTTATTTTCAATAAATATAAAGGTGATAAGTGTAATAAGTCCAAACACCACTAAGTAGAGAGTGGAAAGTGACATTCCATGGCTCTTGATTGTGACTCCATAAATCAATCCTAGACACTAGACCTTGGAAATTCATTAGAATGCATGCACCAAATTTGTGATTGATTGTAAGGAAATCTAATCAAGATTGGATTATTAGGAATGTTTAATCAACCATTTTGTTAATATTAGGCCTAAAGGCACTTTATTACCAATACGTAACAATGTGCAAAACATGCACGGCAAAGAATGCTCTCGTAATTTTAGGTATTAATTACGCTGTGTCAAGAACTAATTGTGCATTGCACTTATATTCGCTACTGAAAAGTAAAAAATATATAAATTTCGAATGATTTTTCTCTTCCTAACATTGTGTTATATGAATAAAAATATTTCGTACGTTTCAACACTTCACGATCATTTCATTTAAAAAGTTCAAAATTTAGTGAAAAATATTTTTCAGTCGCATTTTCAGGCGGGTTATTTGTGAAAGGAGGAAAGGGCCAGATGGTCCAAATCGGGTGGAGCCCGTCGACACAAAAGGGACCTTTAAAACAAATCTCACACAATTATTTTTGTGTTGTCCTGTGGTTTTTTTCCTCCTTATTCAATGCTAAACTTTGGGGCCCACCTCCGAATGGGTTGGGTTTGTTTCATTTAATTTAGGATTAAATTATGAAAATGGACTATTCCCAGTATGAATTAGGGTGGCCGGTTTAGTTGGACAAATCATAGGTCCATAATACATTCTTACTTGTTAATTAAATTTGATGTGATAATGTGGGGCGACTCATGAAAAGCATACCCCTCTAGAAGGCCTCATCTTCAGTAATCGAAGATATTCCATCATAGTTATAAGGCTCATTGTCAAACGTAATACTAAATTATTGAACGATTAATTTATTGGAAGAATTATTGGACGAATCAATAATTTGCAATTAAAATAAATATATAAAAAATGTTGAAACTTACGATTAGAACTCTTCAACTCGATCCAATTCTAAGTTCTTCAATTTGTCCAATCGAAAATCAAACCGACAGATTTTCAACTCGATTTAAATCACGCTCAACTATCCTCAACCATTTTTGGTGGGTTCAACCGTGTATCAATCCACTAAAACTATCCAAACTAGAGTCTAATTCATCATTTCGAATAAGTCACAAGTGTTCATTGTTTTAAACGAGTGAACATGAAATCTTCAATTGATCCAATTGTGAACCAATCTAATTCGCCAATTAACCCTATTAAAAATGTTAGCTTATTGATTGACGGTGCAAGATTTAACCAGTTCCAACAAGTCCACCACCTCACGAATCTCTCCACCATCAGATTTGATCGCCGTCGAAGATGACTTTTCACAAAATTCAGCAGATGGAATCTCGACCACCCCACAGGCCAGAGTATACAAATCAATCATGCTACGTACGCATTCTTTTTTCCATTAAATTTGACATTCTTCCACATGACATTCATCAAAGTCATTGATTTTTTGACACACAGGGAGAATTTCAAAGAGAACGTAAATAATAACGTACATATAACTTAATTTTATAAAAACAGCATAACACAAAATCTATTGAATTATTCTATTTGTACATTTAAGTGCACATCTTGAATGACATAATACACAAGTGGCATATAATGTTACGGCGACATGAGACGCCATTATTATATGTAGTCTAATCCTGGTACTATGTCGTCCCATTTTGACAATGACTATATATAAAGCTGCTGGGCCCACTACACAACGTACTTGGTTCGCCTTAGTTTAATGCCACACCATCTCAACCACTCCCAACTCTTAGCCATCGCCTCACCGCCGTCGATTACATAATATAGCTTCCAATTTATGAAATATTTTTGTAAATTGTAATGACGTTGTATCTTGGAATCAACCTCAACTGATCGAGGATTAAAGTTGACGAGTGATTGTAAGCAATTATGCCCCCGTTTTGACACCCATTTTAGAGGAAAATTAAATTCTAGAATAGTGATTGATAGAAGAATATGTGGTTAAAAAGTAATGAGAATTTTTTGATTTATGTGTCGTATTGTTTTATTGATAAAATGTGTGGTTCAAATGAAGAAAGAGAAAAAAAGAGAATGAGAATGTGATGGGTGTCAAACAGGGGCATATTACTTGGTCCCTGTTTGAGTTACCTCAAAATTTTCATTCTCATTTTCAAGCATATATTTTTCAATAAAATAATATTTTTCATTAAATCAATAGTTTTTTTCTTTTTTTTCAACTATATTCTCTATCAATCTACTATTTTAAAACATATTCTTTCAAAATAATGTGGTTCAAACACACCCTTAGTCAAAATATCTTACTCAATATTTATATTAAGCCCATGTTTGGTATTAATTTAAATCAAATTTTAATTTAAGTTAAGGTGAAAGAATCAATATTAATCACATATTTTATAATCCCAAAATTTTTTAATCATACGTTTAAAAATTTTTCATTAAAATCTACTAAAAATCTAATTTTAATCTCTAATTAAGGGATAAACATGTCCCCTTTGCGAGTAGTTTGAAAAATGTGAATGATTAAAGGCTAAGTATTAATTTAAATCACATATTTTACGATCCCACAATTTTTTAATTATACGTTTCAAAAAAAATTATTAAAATCTACTAAAATTTTATTTTTTATTAAAATTTATGAAAAAACTAATTTTAATCCCTAACTTACGGCTAAACATGTCCCCCTTGGCAAATAGTTGGAAAAACGTGAATGACCAAAGGCTAAGTAAACCTGCACGCCCACCAAACCTGACCAAGCTAATGAAAGCTCCTAATTTTCTAGCTAACTTTCTTTTCTTGAAAGACTCAAACCGGGTAATAGTCATAATAAAAGGAAAAGTTGTCGAGTGTATATAAAAGGCACCGTCTATTATACGCAAAAGGGGGCAGAAAATAAGGTATAGATTTTCCGTACTTTTGTCCGCTTTTTTTACCATATCGCGTGTGTTCACACACTCTCTCCTCTGCCGTGATCATCGGTGCAATGAATTATGCAGTTTGGCACTACACACGAGATTGGTGTTTGCTTTTAGTAGGAAAATGAATGCCTTTTGATTTTCTCACCTTCTCTGCAAACGACAGCGACTTTTGCGCGAGTCCTACGTGTTGGCCTCTACACAGCACGTGTCACTTTCACTGCAACGTTGATTTCACGCGCATATTACCCCGCCCATCCACGATTCTTCATCTTCCGCAACCTGCTCCTGCTAGCATGCGCCGGTTTCAATGGATTCACAAACACAATGTTCGGTTCAATAATACTACTTACTGATCAAACAAAGTGATAATGAACAAGGTTTGATTAACAAGAATTCATGCAACTTGGATGAATTTTTTCGATTTATGAAGTGATTAACAGAAATTCAAGAGGACATGTTTACATTAAGACTAGCGGTTTTGGACGAGTTACAGATGGGACAATTATGGAGAGATGACACGCAAAAAGTACAGAGGCAGAGATGCCTGCAAGGCAAAAGCAACACAGATGACTCCTCCTTTCCACAGTTCCTGCACAATCTGTTCCTGTTGCTATTACTGTAACTGCAGCTCTTCCATCCTCTATTGTCCCCACTATTGCCAGTACAGCAATTGGTGCTGTGCGCATTGGTTTCCGTGCACTCTGCTAATGTTTGCCGCTCGATTTCTTCGAAGTTGCTGCCGCAGCACGATTGAGCGTCGTTGGCTAATTCCTCGTCGGCGCGGTGGCTCTGGTTTTGATCGCCTTGGACTTGAGCTAGAACTTGCGCGAGATTGCATCTCAAAGTGTTTGCTGTGGCTTCATTTGTTTGTGCCAAATCTCTCCATATCTGATTCTCTACGCACAGGGACTTCACTCTCCCCTCCAAGGCCCAGTTTAATTTTCCAATTTCGTCAATTTCATCTTCTTTTGCTTTCAGTTTCTTCATTATATTGCCTTCAACAGCTGCCACGATTCTCCGCGAATATCTCTTTCGTCTATCTTCCATTTCCATCCTTACTTTCTCAGTCTATAACAAATGATCGAGTTAATCGCAAATTCGTATAATCTGTAACGGAACAGATTACAAAAATAAAAAATAGATCGAGATATTAAACATCTTACCTGTTGAGCAATGACGCAATCGATTTCTAATTGTTGTTGTTGAATCTGAAACGAAATATCTTCGCCGAGAAAAGTGAAAGAACCGCAAAGGTAATTTGCATTCTGATTCTGAACGCCAGTGAATGAAGAAAGCAGAGGATTCATGGCATCACTTGATCGCTTTCTCGATACCGGAACAGCATAACTGATGCCACTCTCGGATTTCATCAGAGGTGTCTTCGCTGGAATAGAATCTGCAATCGCCGAATTGTACATCGGCATAATATTATACGTTGCCATCGTTGTGCCAGAAAGTGGCTTCACCGCTCCGTATCCGAATGGAGTTCCATACATATTTACATTGCCGATGCCTTCCATACTATCCATCGCCGTATCTCTGCATTCATTCGAAAACGTAAATACATATCCAGTCCTGTAAGTTTCATATCAATCAATGATTCAACAGACTTGAAAACTGAAAATCGTGAATGAAATACATACCTATTGCTGAGAATCTGTGGAGGAAATAGATTGAGATGGCGAGATTCAACAGCCATTAGTATCTACGTAATTTCTTGGATCTCTGTTGAATGAATCACACACTATATGCTTGCGGAGCTTTCTCTCTCCGTATATATGTTTGCTTATTTTGGCTTGTGGACAGAGGGTTACGAACGGTGAGTGAAAGGTGGAGAAAAGAACAACAACAATAAGAGGGGAGGAAATAATATGCACAAAAGGCCATGCAATGCAAAAAAATAAAGTTAATAAATAGATGTTTGTTTTGCAGTATTTAAAGGGAGTAAGAAAGATTGTGAAATTTGTTTGTCTGGTCTGGTCTGGTCTGTTCGGTGCGTGGGTGGGTGGGTGGGTTAGTTACCAGAAAGGCCCTCATTTTTGAGTTACCATGGAAATACGCTGTCTACTGTTTCAGCTGAACTGCAGGGGCTATTTCGGTATGATACAAAGCTTTGTTTTTATCTTCCAATAGTAATAAAATTTGGATGCTTATTCACACCATCCTTCACAAAATATTATTATCTTTAGCCTTGTTTTGTTGTGTATTAAAATCAAATTTTTAATGGAATTTGATAAAATTCGATGGAATGTGTGGTTGATAAGTTGTGGACCCCATAAAATGTGTAGTTAAAATTAATTGTTGTTTTTGACTTGAGATTAAAATCAAATTTTAATTTATACCAAACATGAGCTTAATTTTTTATTAACTGGCAAGTTTTCATTTTCCGTCCAAAAATATTGTTATTGTGTTTAAAAATACGATAGCTAAATATCACATTTTGCTCAATTTTAATGAGTTTTTTGATAATAAGGCCTAATTGGAAGGGATTCTCAAAATTATACAATAAATCAATTCTCATTTTCAACCACACATTCTTCAATAAAATAATATTTTTTATCATATCAATAATTTTTTCTTCTTTTTCAACCATACATTTCCTATCATATCACTATTCAAAATCAATTATTCCCCCAAAAATCCCTCTCAAACAAACACTAAGTAAATATTTTTGGAATTGAAACGTGGTGTAAATATATATTAGCCATAATAATTTCTTTAAATCGTTTCAAGGACAACTGCAACAGTTGTCTCAAGCTATTGCTCAAATAGTAAGTTAGTTCTTAAACTTTAGGAGAAAATAGGTTGGTCATCGAATTTTACTTAACTCATGTTTGACCCCATTTTTTTAATTTTTTTTCTCAAACACGTTTTTTGCCTGTATATTTTATGGGAACAATAGATTTATCGACTTTTTGACCGCATACTTTGTCAACTTTGATCAAAATCTAATAAAAAAACTAATTTTTATCCAAACTAAACAGGGTATAATTCTCATCGTGACTCTTTGGTACACAATCTCATATTTTGAGGGAAATATGGAAAATTTATGTATAGACTATAAAGTAATTAAATAACTATATAATGATCTATAGATTATTTTTTAAATTTTATTTATTGTACTAAATTTCACAAAATAATGGTCCCTCCTAACATGTATGGGAATACGTGGCCAAGACTCAAGTGCCAGGAAGATTCCAGCGTGGCACGCGGGAAAGGGGGGTGGGGCCATGAAGAGTCAAACGTAGAAAATAGGTTAGCCTGCTCGACGTTGCAGCTGAGATTTCAATTTCCTCTGATTAGTAAATGAGAAACGCTCCCACCTTTCCAAACGGCACAGGTTTGAATTTCCGTAACATTTTATTAACTTTTGGTGGAAACTTGAAAGCAAAACAATACCTAAATTTTGGCATAAATGTCCGAATAATATTCAAGTTTTTAAAACAGTCAATTCATATTTAATATTTATTTGCATTTAGGTCTAAGAAGAATGGTACATTAGATAAACACATAACTTAATTATGAATCAAAATTCAGCTCTTAATCATAGAGAAAATGAAATTAAACTAGAGACACAATATTCATCGCAAAGCTGTACGCATTTTTATTTTATTTTATTTTTTTGAGTTTAGGGTTAGTCGTCGAACTTATAGCCTTTCACCTCGTTAGACAATTTTTTCGTATTTAAAAACAACTTTTGACTTTTCAAAAGTCTTATCAAATTGACACTCTATTCATTTTGATTATTTAAAGAAATATTTATTGATTTCTCATCATCTTTTATTTACCATATATTCTTATACGTCACTTTCTAATTAATTCAAATAAAATTTGAAAAATAAATATAAATAGAGAGTAAATTCGGTGAGTATCAATTTTATGTATGAAATCGATGCTTGCTTGCCTAAGCTCCAATAATACCATCAATTTGGGTATGAGAAAAGCATGTAGACACCATAATTTGGCGTGTTTGTGTGTGTTGTATGCTTTGTTTGTTTGTACATCAATTTTAAAGCATCTTGAGAACAGGCACCTCACTCACTCCCCATAAACTGCGCTGTCACACTTCGATATTATCGACATATGTAAAAAAAAAAACACTGGTCGTCTACACGTCTCATCTTAAAATATATTTGATACGTTGAAATATGAATAGGACGATTCTTTATTCTTTATTAATTTCTTCAAAAAAGCCATAGACAAAAGGCGAATATTAGCTATATAATATAAGTGATTCTTTCTAGGTAATTTTCAGTCTAATTACTAATATCTGCCGGTGCAGCTTTGAAGATTTTGATGTAAAATTTATAATTTTATGCTCCATTCAGACAAACTAGCTGCAATTAAGGAGACAAATAGAACAGACTGTGAATTAGTAGCCAAAAACAAAGTGATTTTAATAATTAAGCTTCCATCATATGGATTAGTTCGAGGAGGGTGGCATGGGTTTTGCATTATTAATCAACTTAGTCATTAAAATTCACAAACCCACGTTGTATCTTATCTAATACGTAATACAATATTTAGGTAACAAGACCTTGTGAGTTTGCTTTTCACTTTTGGCTAATTCCCATATGCTTAGGCAATAATTTAATCTGGACATTTCCTAATGAATTGATTTATGGCAAAAATGTTATATTCATGTCGCCAGACTAGCCGATGTTCGAAAAGTATTTATACACACTCAAACTACATTTTTATCGGTACATTTCGAGGGACTCTTAAGTATCGTCCACACTTATTTATAATTTAAATCATTTATAAACAATTATCAATCGCCACATAAATAAAAGCATCAATTCAAAAGAACAACCAAATCAAAACACTTGTGAAAAATCTCGGTGGGCGAGTTGACTCAGCTCCTTAAGGTAGATTGGTTCAGGTGTGGTCCTGAAGGCCCGTCATCAAGCCCCAAGCTCGAGCAGACCTACCTATTTTTATATCTATGTATTCATGCTACAAAGTTGCATATTTTACACAACTTGATCGATCCAATCCGACTGCTTCGGTATCTCTATGCGGAAGAGGACTCCTATTTTCTTACGATTCTTTTACTTAGTTGAATATAACGTAACGAGAGAAAGTATACCCACGACATAAACAATGCTTGACCGTATACGCATTTGGGTGTAGAAAAGGAAATAATCTAGCAACTCATAAGTATAATATGGAATTTTCTTTTCTCCACTGAAATTTCTAGCATTTTGGATTCAATTAGTCCATGAAATTTTGTAATCCCAATTCCACGAGGTAGATGGAAAGGATGTGTGGATTCCTCAATAAGAGTTCATTGATCTTTTAATAAACTCCATTATTGCTGTCATCAACTCAATGTAGAGTACAAATTCCCTTTCACCATTTCCCAAGTCTAAAGAGGAAAAAAGTAAAAATGTGAGAAAAGTAGAGTAGTGGGTCACAAGTCACAATATACATTGCATTGCATTGGAAGAGAAAAGATTAGATTTTAGAGTTAATGCGTGTTGTTGGGATCAAAATTGAGAAAGGGGAAAAGGGGAAATTATATGCATGTTTATGCTTCCCCTCTTTTAATGGCAATTGAAGCACCTTGACTTGGTGGGTTTTTCTTTTTATCCTCTTTATTTAAAACTTAAAGTTGCATTGTGTTCCAGCACGCTTTTTCACCCACACCACATTTGGAGAGAGATAGAGAGAGTCTGTCAGATTCAAAGAGTGGAGGAGATGAACGAGATTCCCAAGAAAATGAGGAGTGGGCATCTAATGAATGACAACCTTGAGGTTTCTATTTTTATTCTCATCGAGTAATGTATGTTGGAGAATTTTAGAAGGCATCCAATTTTTGCATTATTAAGTACTTTTATCTCTCTCTTTTCGTGGTACTTGAATTTCTGCTTACGAATTTAATTCGAAGTGTCTATTAAAGAGTTACGTGATTCTCAATGCCTGTTTGGTAAAAAAAAGCTAATCAAATTTTATCCACATTTCATCACAAATTTTAAGGGATCCATCGACTCGTAACAATATCACACGCCGTTAATTTTTTTTATTTATTTTTTAACTAACATTTGTCGTTTGTAAAATTGAGTGTCACCCCTCAACTCCCTGCAATATATCATTGCTGTACATGTAAACGAAGACAAAACTGTGAAATGATAAATATTTTTTATGCTTGTATTGCAATGCAATTGATGTGATATAAATTTCATAGAAGAAATATAAAAAAAAAAAAAAAAAGGTAAATGCATCTTTTGCTTTATTAAATTTCAAGAAAGTTACTGGACAACTTACCATGGTATTTGGTGTGGGGTCATGTGGTTGGCTATCATTATTTCTTGTATTTGAAACATACCTTACTTAAATTGACAAAAGAAATTCTTTAAATCTCCTGCCAGAATTAGAATGTCAGGTTTGGAGAAAGAGATATGCTATATATATGTGTACAATTCCCATGTACATATAGCCTTTCTTTTTCTTTTTCTTTTTTTCCTAATAGCAAATTTGCACCCTTTGTCCCCAATCTTTACAAATAGATATTAATCAAAATCTTTAGCATTAGAAATCCTAACTTTTCATTTACTTGCAAAATCATGTCATTCCGTTCATTGTTACAATTAAATCCCCATTAAAAAGATTTGTCCCTTATATTTAAATAAAACAAAGAAAAGGAGAAATGAAAAATAAAGAGAAAAACAAATAAATCACAAAACAATTAAAAATAATTCAAAAAAAAAAACATTTTTTTCTCCTCCAACTACCCCCTTCCCAATTTAATCCAATCCATCCCACAAACCTCAACCAAACCACCACTACACACCTAAAGCCATCATCAAACCCACGCCATTTGCAACAAAAAGTGTAAATAGCCTTTTAATTATACAAATTATATTTTTTATTATAAAAAAATTATGTAGTTTTTTTGGAATAGTTTGTATTTTGGTTGTAGTTTTGTCAATTGCTCAATAATAAATTTTCTAAATGGAGCCATAAAAGTTCCCCTTTAAAGAACCCAACATCTTAGTTTTCTCATTCCTGCTTGGCCAGTTCAAAAGATACGTTTATTATTATAATTATACGAGGAAATTACAAAAAATCAGGTACTTAAATTTCTAAATTCAAAATTCAGGTATGAAGTTTATTTAATCAAAAATCAGGTACTAATTGGATATTTTATTAATTTAAATAATATTATAATAATAATATTTCAAAAAAACTTTAATTCATTTTCAATCACATTTTCTCTCACTACTCTCTCTCTCTCTCCCCCTCCAGAACGTCGCTGGTTGGAACCCCCTTCAGGAAGTCCTACTTCGTTGCTGCCCGGAGATTGTATCTACCCTCGTCCAGCATCATCACCTTTCCTCCTGGTCCAAGTGGCGCCGCCGCCTCCTTTCTCGTCTAGTTGCTGCCTTTCGCCGCATGCGCGACTTCTACATGGAGATCTCCTTCCATTTCGAGAGCTCCATCGTGCCATTCGTCGGAAAAATAGCCCCCTCCGATACCTACAAAATATGGAAGCGCGATGGCAACCTCCAAGCAGACACGTCTCTCGCCGGTTACGACGGTTTCAAAATTCAATGTGCCAATCAAAGCTTCGTCTTCCTCAACAACATTGATCCCACTCTCGAAATCCCCCTTGGCTCCCTTCTCGTTCTTAACCACGACGACAAAAAAATCTGGTGGTGAATCTAGTGCGGTGGATCTAGGTAGCGGCGACGGGGGTGGAGGTTGTGGCGGTGGCGAGTTTGGGGTTTTTTTTGTTGGGTTGTCATTGTGGTGTGGTGTGGTGTGGTGATGCCTGTGTTGTTGGCGGCAACGGGGGTGGTGGTGGATCTAACGACGGCGCGACGATGGGGCGGGGGTGTGGTGGTAGTGACGAGTTTAGGATTTTTTGTTAGGTGGTGGTTGTGGTGTGATGTGGTTTGTTAATGGTGGTATTGGTAGTGCAATAGTGGTGATGGTTGTGGTTTTTGTTGGCAGATGACTGGATCTGGTAGTGACGATTTGGTGGGGTGATGTGGTGTTGGTGGCAATAGTGAAGGGGATGGTGGTGGATTTGGCGGCGACGAAGATGGGTGGATGCAGTGGCGGTAGTGTTGGTGACGATGGTGTGTGACCACTATTTGGTGTATGTGACCAATTACTTGGTTATATGTGATCAAGTATTAAATCGTGACTTTAAAATTTGATAATTTGTGACTTGAAAAATAATTTGTGACCAACAAATCTAAAAACCTGTGACCGATAAATAAGTCGTGACATGTAATTTTTTTTATTTGTGACCAATAAAAAAATTTGTGATCTCGAAATAATATGTGACCTACAAAATATTTAATTTATGACCTCAGAATAATTAATTTGATAATATGTGACCAGTAAATAAATTGAAACATATAATTATGTATATGTGACCATTAATTGTATAACTGTGATTTTATTATATTTAATTAATAATATATATACCCGAATTCTGAATTTTCAAACTATAAATCTGATTTGTGAATTGGTGTAAA